TTTACATTCAGACACACAGCAGGACTGTGGATTCTGTCCTCCATCATGTGACCCTGCAGTCAGCTTATCAGGGGATTTATTCACAGTTCAACAATCTGAAAAATCTTCAGATTTTTTTCAGAAAATATCTGAAAAGGGATGAACCAGAAACCAGGACTTAAATTCAAGATATTAGAAACTGACCTGAGAGTCTTCAGTTTACAGTTTGGACTCTGAAGTCTAGCAGAAAGCTGCTTCAGTAGTGAATCTGGCAGGTTGAAGTTTCCACTCAGGTCCAGGTCTGTCAGACGGGAGGGGTTGGACTTCAGAGCTGAGGCCATGACTTCACAGTGACTCTCTGAGAGTCCACAGTTAGAAAGTCTGTCATGAAGCACATACACAACAAAATATGTTATTATGAAAGAAGACACTTTCTATTTCCTTCATGCATTTGATGCAGCAACAGCTGGACACGTCCTGTTTGACATGTTGTTCTTCACATCAGTGATTCGGCTGATTTTATCTGACTGTGTTTGATATGAAACTGAATTCTCTTCAGCCTCTCGCACACTTTGAATCATTGTTTAGATTAATCTGCAGATGAAGGACAGAAGATGGAGTTCAGAATCAATAAAATGCTCCAAGACTCGGTTCAACACACTTTGCAGCCTCCGCCTTTGTATGATTGTATGATCAGTAGTTTAAGGAGCCTCATATCCATGATAATACTGTTGTACAAGTGACATGACTGAATCACTTCACTGATCTCAGGATGATTCTCTACCTGTGAAACCAACTTACTGTTGCAGCATTAATATTATCTCATCATTGTCACATGGGGCCAGGGCAGCAGCTTCAACTAAACGTAGATACTAAGTTTAATTGATCAGAATTGTTGATCTATCCAGCACGAATTCGAATAACCAGAATAAACATGGAGCAATTCAAGAAAAACAGTACAAATAGCCCAAAATACATAAATTAAAAACCAATTCATTACAAACACTAAAACATTAAACACACTTCATTGGCATTGTCAGTGGAATTCTGCCTCTAAATATTAAAATAGCAGACAAAAAAAACCCCTGATTTGTTTTAATGTTGTTTTCATTTTGAGTATCAGACTGAATTATGTTGCACAATGTACAGTGCTCATAAAGTGTTGATTTATTTATTTTTTAATAGTAACAGCGCTAATTCCATTAAAGCAGTTTTTCCAGACCTTAGAAATGATTCAGATCTTAAAATCAGGTACAAGTTGTATATGAGGTGTGTCAGAACAGTTCCAGGATGGGAGCAACCTCTTATGTCCTGCAGCTTCTCATGTCATGTCACATCATGTCCTGCAACTTCTTTTCTCATGTTAGGTTGAACCAACTTTAAGTCACACTCATTTGTGTGACTTAATTTACACATACTCAAGAATTTACATCCCAACAAATGGAGAGACTTCATGTCTTGTAACTAAAAAACAAAAAACAAAAAAACAAAATGACAAAAATCAACATTTTCACAGGATGTCTAACAGTTCAAGATCATTTGAGACAAAATACAGCTGAGACTTGATATAAATTCCTTCCAGCACCTTCCACCTCAGAGGAAGTTCCTGCCTACACTGTGTTAGAGAAAAAGACCAAAGGGGCAGCAGCCTCTCCACCACAGAAAGGCTCTGACAGCACACAGCGCTTCACAGAGGAACATATACATGTGATGAAGAGCTGAGCTGACACTCAACATGTGTTTGAGGATTTATTCATTAAGACATTTAAACTGAGACACTCATTTAACACAGTTACAACATCTACATACAGATTACCTCTTTACCTCCTTTAAAGGAGAACTTTAAAGGTAACAAGAAAACCCTTCGACTCGTTGCTCTTAAAGAACACACAACTAGATGCAGGTCTAGGTTTGAGTCTCTGATGGATCCTGATGAAAGAAAATTAAATCTCAAACCCTTTTAACATCACACACATCTGAAAGAATTAAACTGTCCTACACACCATTAGAATATCAGACTTAAGGGAAGATGACTGGATTCATCCTCCACATCACCATGAAAGTAGTCTTGTTGTTATGAAACAAACCTGTTCTCCACTGAGAATCCTGCCAGCAGCCTGAGAGCTTAGAGGGAAGGAACCTTTACTATAAAACACTGACTTCACTTATTCAACATCAGTCAGAACACTTCGATCAACAGAGACATCAACAAGCACAAACACCAAATCATGAATCAAAGTCCAACCTAACTGCCTGCTGGAGCTCATATCAGGACACAGTTTAATAATTATATGGGTTTATTATAGTTATATCCAAAGTTCAGATATAACAGTGAAGCTGAACAACTAACAGCTGCTGTGAGGTGCTGAATGTGATATCTTTCTATGTTGGTGAAAACCTGCAGCCACCTGGGGTGGAAGAAGGTTCAGCTGTCAGTCTTCAGTCTCTGTAAAACACAGTTGAGTTTAATTTGCAGATTTGATTCTGCTTCTGAATAAACTAATGAAAGAGAAATGATTGATGTGGAGATTCTGGACATGAACAGCAGCAGACAAACAACAACTTGTTTGTGCTAAAGACAAATCAAAGGTTCACTTACTAAACTTCTTCCAGCGACAGTTGTTCAGTAGCAGCTTTCTGCTGCTCTCGTCAGCTTTGCGATGGTTGTTCTTTAGCTCTGTGTCTTCTGGCCCTGAAACACCTCAAACCACAAACCAGTCTGAACCTGCTCAGCTCAAAGATCAGTTTTTTATGACACTGATATCAAACACGGAAACAGCAGCTCCTCAATAAACATCATCATTGAACACTGACTTGTCTCAATATTTCTTTGACCTTTTCTACATCAAAAATAGCCTCTCATACATTTTGTGTTTTCTTATTTCAAAGCAGTCTCACTGTAATTGTATTTTAATATGTGTCATTTTAAATACAGACAAGGGAAGCAAAAAGCAAAAAAACAAACAAAAAAAAAAACAACAAAAAAAAAAAACTTAAATCAATACTGACTATATGATGTTGGAATGAACTGATTCATCATCTTTACTTTTTTTTTTTTAATCAAATGTAAATAACTCTTGTGGAAATGGTTCACAGCTGTATTTATTAAATCTACACACTTATTCATAGCTAATATTCGCATTAACTATGTTTATGTCAATAAATTATATTGGACGTAAATGTAAAATGACTTTATAGTGAAATATATAAAAGTACAT